AATATTAATATTTATATATAATATATTACATAAGGCTAAGGGACAAAATGGGAAGAAAATATAGATCATGTTTGTACAAAGTGCAAGAAGATGCTGGACGTATCGATATGTGTGGCACATTGATTTCAAACTTTTATAAGAATTATTATTATGTACTTATTTGACGTTCATTATTTCTATATGTATCTTCCCGTCACTTCAACTCATCTACCCAATTCGCTGAAAAGTCTTTTTTGCTGTCCGGATTTTCAGTAGTGGAAGTATTCATAAAATCCACACTTGAAGGCACTACCTGCGGGAGTAGCTCCACGCTTACTGCCTGAAATGAACAGTGTCCCTTCATAAAGCTAACTTGAAAGCGGACTCGACCACCCACTGGCAGGGTACGAAAGCCATGCATACGGACGTAGCTCTGGTGTACGAAAATATCGCCAGGGGCGGTCGGTACACGCGTATACGACCTCCCCGATTTCATGGCGGTGGAAGTAGCTGACATAGCAGAGGCAAACGAAGTCAAAGATGCGTCTGGGAGCATCCCCTCGAAGTAAGACTGAGCCATAGGTTCAAGTTGTAGGAAGACGTCACCGTCAATGCGTGGTGTGGGGAGTATGTCGGCCGGTCGGGCATCCACAGCCGCGCCAGGGTCCGCCTCGTATGGCGTAAAGCTAATCTCAGGGCTGCTGTCGGGGGAAATCCCGTTTCCATCCGGTGCATCGGTTGCCGACCTCTCAAAATCCTTTGCGGTTGTCGTGCTCGCGTTGGGTAGGGTATCCGGGGCTGGAAAAATCTGATGTGTCGCCGTCAGGAAGCCGAACCCGCGCACGGGGTTATAGCGCTTCACATAGCCCTCGTAGAGCCCACCCGGGATGTAGTTCAGCCCGTTCAGACGCTTCTCCAGTCCCGTCATTGGCGGCGGCATGAGCGGCATCGCGAGCATCGGATTTGCAGGCGGCGGTGCCACAGACTCCGGCATGCGGGGGCCGTAAACAGGCAGGATAACGTGCAGGGGCCCGTCAACGAGCCCCATCGTCGGCGGGAGGCAGACCACCTCCTTCGCGACCGCGCCGTGTCCGGCCCCCAGGCCGATGGCCGGGGTTCCCTGACCGAAGCCCAGGCCGATGGTAGAGGTGGTGGGGCCAAAGCCGAGGCCCATGGCAGGGGTACCGTGGCCGAGATACGGGGCCGCCCCGTTCATAGCAGTGGCCAGGGGGTTGTAGAAGACCGTCGTAGGCTCCGTGTGGAGTTGTGGTACGGCAAGGGCGTACATCTTTGTGAGGAGAACTTAGTAAAAGATCACCAAAGGGAAAGGATGTCACAACAGTACAACCACCACGGGTAGACTAACAAGCGAATGCAACGGGGAAGTGAGCTTTTGCGTTTAAGCGAGCGAGAGAGAGACTTAAGAGTTTGGTGAGCCTTCCGTGACAAATGTGCTTCGCACTTTTGTTGATGGGTAGCGAGATAGTTAAACTGAGGTAAAAAGATTTAGATTTAGCGAAAAAAAAGTTGCGTTTTATGCTTTCTTTGTAATACTCCCTATGTGTTTTATGGTTTCTGGATTACACGTATGATAAAGAATACTTATACGTGATGAGAATAGTAGCAAATAAAAAATGTATGGAGGAAAGAATAATAAGCAAAGAAGAGCAAGTCGCACTCGTATGATTTCCATTTTTAACTACCTCTATTCTGAAATTAGAGAAAGATTCATTGCTTAAACTGAAGAACCAAAAATTAGCTTGAATTGAAACCATTTCAGCTTATTTATTAATTTATTATTTTTAGTCTTGCATTGTATAAAATGATAATTTTATCGCTTCCCTAAGGCATCATTCTGAAGAAAAATGCAACAGAACAAAACAATCCCGATACTCGAAACGCAAAACACATTGCAGGAACCGTAAACATATATCCATAAGTGTGTTACTTCATTCAGTAATACACTCATTTATATATTAAATGAACCTAAACAGTATAGCGAGCTGCAGAATCGGCACTGGCATAAATTAATATTTTAAAAATGAAGCTTTGCATTCTTTCCTCTGGATATATTACGACAAAGAGTGGGATAAGAAAGGCGAAAAAAAATACCAACACCTAAATCGTGGATTTTTAGACGATGGTGGATAAAACTACTGAAAACGAAAAAGAAAAGGTCCGTTGAAATGTAGGAATCATATCCATGAGTTGCTGCCACCACCCACCCAGAAGCGAATAAATATCAACAAAGATGCACGAAAACAACGTATAGTAACAGACATGATGGCAGGACCGAAACCCCGTTGTTGAGGTTGTGGCAGTGAGAAATAAAACAAGAACGTCATAATATATTTTGAGATTATATTGTTATTATATGACTATCTGCTTTCAATTTAAAAGATATGCCGCTAGCACTGAACCAGAAGCATCACCCTCAAGGTTGCTGTATTTCAAAAAAAAAAAGCCTACTCTCGTGAGTTGATTCATAAAGACATAATGTATATGCTAAAATACAAATAAGCATTATGGCCATTGATTCACATAAATGCATATCGTTATGGGTCGTAGGTTCATTAGCAGATAGGCAAAAGAGGCACGGAAAAAAAAACCGATAATAAAACAAGCAATCTGTACCTATATTTACGCATAAGCATCAATCTAGGATCAAAGAATAAATAAATTAAAAAGACATCATTTTCACACATATCAAAGAAAATATCTATTGTCAAATACCTCAATAAAAAAAACGAAAAGTATTCTGTCGATGTGTAGCAGCTTTTCAGCAATTCAGATTTTTAAAAAAATGAGAATAAGTCAGCTAAACTATGGCATGTTTTTATTTTTTGTACACTTATATCCTGCTTCATTAACTAGATTGATAAAAAAAGATACATTTTCAAACGTTTGTTTACATTAAAATAAGTGGATCTTCCATAACTTCAGGTACCTTGTTAAGTTAATACTCTCGCATGATCATTTATTTCAAAAAATAGGCAACCCATTTCTTTGTCACTTACAGTACATGTCTCACCCTAAACAGATGATGAAAGTCAAATCGCAAACGAAACAAATTCACAATCAATAGAAACCCAAGGTACATGTGTATACTTAAGTGCATGTATACGGATACATACATATTTACCTGTACCTTTTCAATGATCGTAAGAGGCTAAAAAGAGATGATCTCAAAATGCATTTAGAAATATCTTAGGACAATGAAGATGTATAAAATATTAAAATAAAAATGCACCACGACCGCACACTAAAAGAAAAATCACTCTAGTGTAGCGCGTTTTATTACAACTATATTTTTTTACTCTAAAAATTATTTTTCTCCATAATTAATATTTATTTCTTTTTCAAAGGTATAATTATATTAGATTGTTGCTTTATAGCATCTTGTTCGGTCTGAAGACTTGTGAATGAAATCAGTTTGATAGAACAAGAGCCATCTCTTTTTTTTTTCGGGAGGGAGGGGAGGACTATCTGATTCTATTTAGCTATGTAAGCTATATTTCAATGATCTTTTCGCGAATTAAATTTTGTCAATTAATTCGCATATTATATAATTTAGAGCGGGAAGAAACAATTCAAAATAAAACCAAAATAAAAGTTAGGGTGAACACACAATTTCTTCACATTTTCCTGTAATATATACATACCAAGGAAGCATTTAAACAACTCTTCTTACTATGAAAGCGTATGAACACGATAAAACCGACACTTAAATATAACGCTGCGTGTGGTTATGATTGTAAAGACGATATAAATACTGCACAATGTGTCACTTTCTTCTCAACGCTTTTCATTTCATATTAAGAAAAAGTTTTCAAAAGAAAATAGAGAAAGAAAAAATAAAAGGTTTTTGTCAAGTGTAAAAAAAAAAGACCCAGCAACAATAATGAAAGATTTTTAAAAATGAAATCGTATATAAAACAAAATAAAAAGAAAAGAACAATGTTCCTCAAACACTTTAAAGTGGGGTATTCGTTTGTCTTTCGGTTCCTCCTTCTTTTGTAATTGTCTCTGCATTTTTCTAAGCAACACGAACAAAAGGCGAACAATAAGCTGACGAAAGAGTGCAAAAAAAAAATGAACAATAACGCCATGTTAGAGAACAAAGAAGAAAAGAATCTTTAAAACAAAAAATATCACAATATATATATAGATATATATATGCATGTATGTATGTGTGCATGTATGTATGTATGTATGTATATTTTCATTACGTATTTTACGTTCGCTTACTTATTGAGTTACGAGTGATGACTACAGAAGTCACTTACATTAAGAAGAAAACATGAATAAAGGTGCATCGTTGGCTTTGAAAATAAGCAAATAAACTATAGAACATGCTTATCTCAATACTTTATTCATGTGTACCTACATTTTTTCACCCATCCTCATTGATTCTAAATAAGTAAAAAAAAGCAAATTTGTTTTTTCGCCAGATTTTTTGCTATCCTTCTTTTATAAGGTTTACCTTTTTCCTACCCACGAATAAACTAAAACCAAAACAAATAGCATTGGTATTGGAAAATAGTAAGTATATCTAGCGCGAAATAATTTAAAAATAATGATAATAAAAGTATAAGAATGTATTACGGATAAAAGGGACTCAAGTATATCACAATGAAGTATTCTCACTGAAAAGAAAGGAAGAAAAGTGAAACTAAACAAGGGGTCGGGAAAAATAAAAACAGTTAAACATTAATATACATACTTACGTGACACTATACATAAATCAAACCCAAGTAGTTGAGCTCAAGATAATGCAAAGATAAAGGGAGACCTTAATGGGGAGTGGAGGGGGAGGGGGAAGAGTGAGAAGATCATAAAATGAACAAAGGAAGGACCCTTTGTACTTGGCATGGATGTGTGTACTTTTAACAATCAAATCTACTTATTTACTATCGTGAAGAGATTTACTTTTCCTTTTCCGATAGAAGTAGACTCCCCCAGTACGTGTGTGCATCCTCCCTTGTGGTTATCATCTTCACCCTATGTAATTCAACTCCCTTGTCTCTGGTCTGTGCATTCTCATTGCTATTATAATCCATTGCTAGTAATGTTCGCAGAACCTCTTTGCTACAATGTCCCCAAGGTTCCCTGAGATTCATGTGCAATAGTAAATGTTATTACACTCTTTTTTATGTTATACCTTAATTCCTGCCACTTGTTCTTAGATATTATGAGGAAAAAAAAGCCCCCATCCGTCTACGCAAGAGCTCCAGTTCACTAGCACGAATCGTAAGACGTGTGTCATCACACGCCTCCTTCAAATCCACAAAAAGGTGTTCGTTGACGTCGTGAAGAGGTTCGTGAGGTCGGTGTTACAGGTGTCTGGCAACACGACAAGTGAGCCCCCGTCATTATCGATTCGCTCCGATTGCGTTTTTAGGGGGATATCGGGGATGCCGATGATGCCGGCGCCGGGGTGGCCGACCCCGTCGCTCTCTCCGAGGGTGGAGACCTTCGAGATCGAGGTGCCGCCGTTGGACTGGCCAGAGGGCAGCGAGTGCTTCGCCAGAAACTCCAACTCCGAGCTCTCCCAGGAGCAGTTGCTGTCATGCCGGGGAGGGGTGAGCGAGGCGGGGCGGAACGGAGGAGGCGGAGGAGGAGGGGGGCCGATCGGAGAGGAATCCCGCCCAGTGGTGGGTGGCATGCACCCCTCAAGCGGCACGCGGCCCGGACGCAGCAAAAGTCGAACGTCCACCGCCTGAAGGCTGCCCGGGTTCGTCCCCCAGTCGGCGCGGAAGTACACACAGGCGCCGACGGTAAAGTTCTGCACGACCCCTGCCGAGCTGGCGGTGTCCAAGGGAACGCGGATTTTTTGGTAGTGCACGAAGATATCCCCAATCCGGACGGGCTTGCGGAGGTAACGCACACCATCGATCTCCACAACCGTCTCGCTGGTGCCCGTGGACGCGGAGTCCTCGGCGCCCGGCCAACCGCCCTCGCACTGCTCCAGGCCGGCCACACCCTCCCCATTCAACGGCGTCAGTCGGTGCGTCGCCGTGAGAAAGCCGAAGCCGCGCATGTGGCTATACCGCTTCACCCGCCCTTCGTACTGCGTGTTCGTGGCGTAGAGAAGACCATTCTTGCGTACGGAGTGTGGGCAGATCGTGAGCGCATCCCATTCCCCGGAGTTGACGTCGAGGTGGGGTTGGGGAGGCGTCAAGGACGCGCCGGACTCCGTGGAGGCATCGCTGGGGCCAAGGGTCCGTGAGGGCTGAGAGGTCTGCGGCGACGTGTGGGAGTAGGCCGGGAGCTGGCTTTGTGGGGGTCGAAGTTGCGAAAACGACCCCATCGGAATCGACATCAAGAGTGAAGGATCCATACACAATCCCTGCGAAAACACCTGAGACCCGGCATTGGCGACCGTGGTGGCTCTGGGCATCATAACAGATGTCGGGATCGGCATCGACACCGGCACCCAGTAGTGCTGCTCCGGTATCAATGGAAAGGTTTGAAGAGGATCTGCTTTTAAAGGCGTAAACGCTGCCCCTAACTGTGGGGTTGGCCAGACTTTGAAGCACAAATCTGCATTACCATTAGTATAATCAGTCATAGTGTAGATAAGTGATGGGCAATTTATAAAATTAGTGTCAGAGTAAATACGGGTGTAAATAGTGATGAACACCTCTGTTATAAATTTGGAAAAGCTTTACCTTTGTTCTGCTTGCGATATACACACAAACGCACACAGCTTGAGGTTTTGTGTTTCTTTCCACGGAGCAAGCAAGAAAAAAAGCCTGAAAATGAAGAATGGAAAATTTGTCAGATGGTTGAAAAAAAATGATAAAAAGATATATTGTGAATATGATACCACTTCTTCTGCAAAATTCAATAAAACATTCAAGATATCAAGAAAGAAGAAGAGTGCTTTACTGTGAGCCATATGCTAAGATGGGGTGAATGTCCCCTCATCAAACACACGGGAAAGCCCTTTTAGGCTGCGGCACTGCTCCATAACGGTGAAAATACACCGTGTCATTGTTGTACGTTCGGATTCCCCTCCGTTGGGATACTTAGCAGTCTCAAAACAACAATACACAATAGTGAAAAAAAAATAGGCTCAAAATAAACCTTTCGAAGCAGAAATAAAACGTGCTTATACACAACTGAAAGTGACAAAAAAAAAATCGTCACCAATTTATACTATTCATGGATAGACAATAACCCCCATCCCACTCAAGATCCCGCGGAGAGAAACCACGATACCACATCTGCTGCGCAGCGTTTGCACGCAATCACCCCACCCGCCGCGCTTTCAGCATCGTTCAGGGACTGATCGAGGGATCGATGGGCGTCCTGCTGCGTCGCGTCTACCACCTCGATCTGCTCGCATAGGTGCCGCACGGAGGCCTTGAGCTCCTCACACCGCCGCCGCATGGCGTGTTGCTGACGCTGAAATTCATCCTCAAGGTTGGCGTGGGCTTGCCGCTGAGTCTGAAGTTGGGTCTCGAGCTCACCAGGGGAAAGCCACCTCACCCCTTTCGAGCTCATTAGGTGGGCGGCCCCTTCCCATCCTTCACCCCACACCGCCTCCTCACCTGGCGGGATGTCGCGGCCGCTTTCCTCCTCAACACCTCGCGCCCCTTCTCCGGACTCCGCAGGGGCTGTAGGCTGCAGCGCCCGTAACACGCGCAGCTCCTCCGTCAGCTCGGAATGCCTCCGTCGGGCTTCCTCAAGCGGCCCGGTCAGCAAATCGGCCTCCCGTCGTCGCTGCTGGAGGACCTCCTCGAGGTGCGTGAGGGACTGCTGGGGTGAGCAGACCTGTGCGACGCTCGCGTGGACCTGCGTCGCGCGAAGCACGTATTGCCTTCGCAGGTCGATCAGCTCTTGTCGTTTGGCTTTAACCGCCTCCTCCGCCTTCAGTCGAGGGGCACGCAGAGCCTCGATATGCTGCGTCTCTTCTTCGATGGTGCCGCGCTGTTGGTGGATGAGTTGGAGTAGTTTTAGCTTCTCTCGACGAAGAGCCTCAAGACGCTGCTCTTCGTGGGGGTTGTTTACTTTTTCGCGCCGCAACTTTTCATTTTGATTGAGAAGCGTTTCTAAGCTCCGCATGGACTCGGCGAGACGCATCTCCTCCTTCTGAAGGGACTGCTGACTCTGGTGTAGGGCTTCTGCGAAGCCCTGAAGTGCTGCCACCGCGTTGGCATCCTGATGCTGCAGCATGAGCCTGACTCTACTCTGAACCTTATTTTACCTTTTCCCTCCCCTCGCCTCTGGAGATATCAATGGGTCTCGTCGGAGCACCGTTTCCTCCGAATTGAGCGACCCCTTAATAAAACTGCGTACAGTGGCCTCAGACGCCCCCTTCTCTCTATTCCGTTGAATCCTCTTTGTGGAACACGTGCAGACGTGGAAAATGGACGACTTTAAAGCTCAATTATAAAAAAAAGGAACAGGAAAAATATAACATAGGCAAGAGATGTCATCTCAAGATTAAGTAGTAAATTCCTCGTTTCGTGTGCTTAATGGCTCCACTTCCACCAGGTTTATAAATTCATAAGGAGAACGTATTTTCTATAACGCTGAGGAAGTTTTAGTGCTAATCTAAAGCTAGTAAAATACTACATGTCATATAATAACAAAACAACAAGATTTATAGGACAAAATTCACAAGCACAAGAAAGGTTCCTTCTCATTTTGAGTTCTAATAGAGGAAACACATGCGCACACACTTTCTCACACAGCAATGGAAGCACAACCCGCTTTGTTGTGCGCTAGTAATACAGCAGGCTGCTGTTGTGTTAGTCATGGCGGTAGGTATTCCTCCCCTATAGTTATCTAAACGCATCTAATAGAAAAGTAAAAATAAGAATCTAAGAAATCCAAATCACAAAAAATAGTGACTCAAATCAGCTCCACTTCATAACCGGCGCTATTCATTTCCACTGCCGGAAACAACGATCGACTCATGTCAATGTTTCGGAAGGCGACCCCACAGTCAATATCGTTCCACTCATACCGCATGCAGCGCTCCTCCATCATCAATATGCAACTCACCTTGTCGCCGACCAGAAGACCGCGCGCGCCCTGCATTTTGGCTGCCCGAGCCCACCCCTCCAAAGGGGCATCCACGACGCCCTGAGCGGGCGCGAATCGCCCACCATAGGGGAGATGCAGGTAATAACAACCCGCGTACCGCACGGAGTTGCGCGCGGCGCCGAAGCTTTCCATCGGCAGCAATCGATCCGCAAAGCCGATGGCGATACCGGCGTCATCCGCGTCGGCCGGGGGAAGCGCACCTAGGCGGAGGGTAAAGCGATAGCAGAGGCCCTCGGCCCCCAACCCCCCCCCTCCTCCTCCCACTCCCCAATCCCGTCGCCGACGAGCCGCGTGCAGGGCGCTGCTGATGGAGCCCAGTGCGGAGGCCGCGAGGTCCTCTCGCGCGCCTGGGGTTGTCAGCGGCCGCGCCAGACGCCGCCCCCCCCCTCGCACGAGAAGCCTCCCGGCGCTCGCGCCGAAGACGAGATCCGCCGGTGAAGATCCCGCTCCTCCTCCCTCCGGGAGAACCCCCTGAGGAAACGGAGGAGATCGCGGAAGGGGAAGAGGGCCGTCCTCTGCCCTACCCCCCCCTCCGACGCCAGGGTCGACGCGGATGGGGTCGAGGGTGTGAACCCCTCGTGGCGAGCGCGCGCGCGGCCCTGCCCGCCACTCCCGCCCTCCCCCACTCGAAGCAACCACCCCGGAAAGAAACATACCCGAATGTGGCACCAAACGACCCGACTCCCCTGCTGAAACAACCTCCCCCCCTCGCACGAGATCCTCCACACGGGGTTCGACATTCCACGCGTATCGGGAACCCCGTGCGGCGACCTCTTCCCCTGACTCCGCCAAAGTCCTTTCCGACGGCAGACGCGTTTCCGATCCCCCACGCAAGGTGGCCTCCAACTGCTGCACGAAGGC